TCTTTTTGGTGCTACTGGCCCCTGGGATGGAACCGACGGGTACTACAAGTAGGTCGAACGGGCGGACCCTCATGTCGGGGAAACGTAAGACTCGAGTATGCTGGAACTCGGGTTTGCCGACTTTTTTTGGCAAGGGCGTCTTGAATTTTGACGGTCCTGTTCTCGTGGGATGTTTGTAGCGGGAGCTCGCGTCGAATTTCAGATCGGGTCTCGTCATTTTTACGATGGCCCCGTCAGGCCAAGCCGAGTCCCATGTACCCGAGTCTCACGTCTCCCCCATGGGCGTGTTTCTTTATCGCTTGGGGCACAATGGGCATTGCGGCCCCCGGCCCCCTCCCCCCCCCCCCTACATCGTAGCGCCCCTCCCCCCCAGTGCGCATCAGGTACTGCCGCCGTGCGCACGGCGGGGGGGGGGGGAGGCGTTACATTATGCCCTCCCCGCCCCCCCCCCCCTCCCCCACCCCCCCCATAATGCCCATGATCGCCGAAAAGGAGGAGACGCGCTCCACCGTGGGCAGGTCGGGCGGGCGGGCCCCGATGGGCGCGTCGGGCGGGCGGGCCCCGACGGGCGGGCGGGGTGGGCGGTCCCCGGCGGGCGGGGCGGGCAGGCGGGCCCGCGTGGCGGGGCTGCGCGGGCGGGCCCCAGGCAGGGCGGGGGCGGGCGGGCGGGCCGTGTCCGGCGGGCCCGGCGGGCCGGGCATCAAGCCGCGGTTCATTTGGGGATCGTTTGTTTTTAGGCATTCTTTTGCCGATCGGCGCGGGCCCTCGCCCCCTCCCCCCCCCTCCCCCCCCCCCCCCCTAGGGATTTTTGTTCTTGGCTGCCTCGGGGCGTCCGCTTCGAGCGGGTGGAGGCTCCCCCAGGGGCGGCGCTCCCGCAGGCAGCCTCCATTGAGCAGAGGTCTGGAGCCAGACCCCCCCTCCCCCCCTTGCCGTCCAGTGTGGAACCGCCGAATTGAGAAACGCTCGCCTGTGCGACCGACTTGTCTAGATGGTTTGGGCGATTGCGCGATTCCTCAGCAGGATCGGAGGATTTCCGGGCGAGGGCTCGGATCTCTCCCGAGCGGGGAGCACGGATGCCCCGAGCCATTTCTCAGGAAGGCTCGGGCGAGAGCGCGGTCCTTGAGCGAGCTGCACGGAGGTCTCGATCGAGGGCGCGTATCCGGAAGGAAGCGTGAGCAAGTGTCGGGCGGGAGCCATGGTTGTTGTCGCAGCAGGGGGTAGCATGCCGCTCCTTAAACAACAACGAGTAACAGGATGCGAACGTCGGGCGGTGCATTTATTCTGAAAAGTGCCAGGGTGCCCTAGGTTACGTCACAAGGAAAACCAAGTCTTCCTAATCATACAAGGTTCAGAGCTATCGTTCGTGATCGCCCTGGGTTCATGGCGTGGCAATGCTTTGCGCGAGCCACCAGTCATCGAGAACAAAGTAACCCCTCACCCCAATAACACGATGAAGACGTGGCCTCACTTAGGTCCCCGTCGTCGCATTAGGGATACAGATGAGGGCGGTTTGGTATGATACATCTGCAGATCTATACCCTCTGTCCCTCATATTTTTGGCCCTTTAAACGCAGGCCCCAGGGTAGGGGTACTTGTTTTGTTTATCAGCTAGGGAGCCGCCTCGCCCGTGGTGCCCTGCGCTTCTTTGCAGGCAGCCACTGAGCAGCCACAGAAGCCCTGGGCGATTTTCAGGGTCGGGTTTGTTGCGACGGCTTCTTGCGAGGGGATCAGCAAGACATTCGAGGCGCTGACATGAAGAACATCAGGAGGGGAAGAAACACACAGGCACAAGTCATCGTCGATTCCCAAGGAAATATGGGAAACTATGGGCAGTGGGGGGGAAGACAGAAACCCAGAAAATATGGGAACATATGGGAAACCTGTTATTTGTGTGTATTTATTTGTGTGTCCCAGAGCCCCTTCATCTTTTGGGGCCAAGAAGCGCCTTCGTTTTATGCTGCTCCAACCTACTTGTGTTTTGACCACCGGGAAGAATTTCGAGCACCAAGCTGGAGGTTTTTTCACGTGTCGGGCCCTGGGAGGCAATGCTCGTTCGACACCTGTTCGATGCTTCTCTGGGTGCTCGAACGTGTTTCTGGGACATGATCCTGAACTACGATGGGAGCAACGGAAGCTTCGCTTCTTATCTGGCTTTCCTTACAGTAGGCAACCTGGTTGAGTCGATCCTCATCCCCTGCTCAATGCCCGCCCAGATCGCCACCATCCCACCACCCTGGTTGGGCATGTGCCCCTCGAAACTCGAAGGGAGCAGCCCGTATATCCCCCTCTAGGGGGGGGATCCATCGGCCAGTGCGGCCCAGGCCACGCCCGTGGGGGGAGGGATCGGTCGAGCGCTCTCCGCGCAGCAGCCGGCAGCCGCCGCCCGCAGAAGCCCTCCTCCGCCCTCCTCGAGGTGTGGAGCGTGCGGCTGGCCGACGGCGGCGCCTTCGTGGTGCTGCTGAACCGCAACGCGGAGGGCTCGCAGCCGCTGGGCGTTCCGGTGACCGGGGCAGGGCGCGCGGCGGCTCGACCACCGACCAGGCCTGATGGGCCTGTTTTCCACCACCACCACCATAAGTTGAAGGGGGAGGGGGTCCTCCTCCTCCTCCTCCTCCTCCTCCTCCTCCTCGTTCTCCCCCTCCTCCTCCTCCTCCTCCTCCTCCTCCTCCATCTCGTTCTCCCCCTCCTCCTCCTCCTCCTCCTCGTCATCCCCCTCCTCCTCCTCTCCTCCTCCTCCCCCTCCTCCTCCTCCTCCTCCTCTCCTCCTCCTCCTCCTCCTCCTTCTCCTCTTTCCCCCCTCCAACTTATGGTGGTGGTGGTGGTGGTGGTGGAAAACGGGCCCATCAAAGCCGACGCGATTGGCAGCCGACCGAACCGAGCCGCGCACACGGTTGGTTGTCGAGAGCTCCTCTGGGCACGGTCGCGAGGCCTTTGAGCGCGCGAAGGCTGGATTCGGACGGGGGGGGGACTCGCACGGGGAGCCTCGGAGGAGGATCGGGCCGGACGAAAGGAGGGGATTGGGAACGGGGGGGGCTGCGAAATTTGCTGCATGCAGCTGGTTTCGGCCCCTACCGAGGGGCCCATTCCTCGATACATAGCCGCCTCCGGCGCTGGGAGGCGCCGGGAAAGTCAGCTACGTGAGCTGATTCTCAACCCCCCCCCTTGCTATCCCCCCCTTTCGCCCGACCCGAGAGGAGGCTCGACTCGGACGGGGACGGGGCTCGGAGAGGGGCCGGCAGGGGGAGGGGCGCGCGGACAGACGGCGAGGGGGGGAGCGGCAAGCCGGCTGCGCTCGCGCCACGTCTGACATCCGACGGCTCGTTTCGATTCCTCCGATCCGATTCGATTCGATGTCGGTTGTCTCCGATTCCGATTCGATTCGGTTTCGGATTCCGATTTGGGGATCCGATTTCCCAATGGAGGCCTAATAGCCAGCCGATGCCTGCCGATTCGACTTTCCCGACTCGGCTGCCAGTACACGTCGATCCGAGTCATGTCGATCGCCGATCCGACTTGCCGATTAGATTCTGGGCTCTCCTGCCATGGACCCACCGCTCAGGGACGGCCCCACCTAGACACGCTCGCGTCGTAAAGAAGTCACGGCGGGAGGTTTTGGGCTGTTTTCGGTCTCCAGGGACACTCGCGAGACACCAGGATCGTCGAAGAACGACTCGCGGGGTGAAACGCATGCCCTGGGGAACTGGTCGGGACCTCTAGGGACCCCGTACACGCTGGTCGTTAAAAGTAGGTATTTTTGGAGTCCCAGATCCCAATCTGCTCCAAGCGCCGTCTTACCTCAATAATCGGTATGCTTGTGTCGTGTTTTGCTATTCTCCGGGGGAGCCTGAACCCGATCTGCTTTGTCCGCCTTCCTGCATCATGTTTTGCGTCTGTTTCTTCCGACCGACGTGTCTCGGGCCGGACGAAAAAGGGGGGATTGGGAAAGGGTGGGATACGACATTTGCTGCATGCAGCTGGTTGCGGCCTCACCGAGGGGCCCAGTCCTCGATACATAGCCGCGTCCGGCGTCGGGAGGCGCCGGGGGAATCGGCTATACGTGAGCTGATTCTCACCCCCCCCCCTTTGCGATCCCCCCCTGTCGCCCGACCCGATTGTCTTGAGAAACACAAGGCATCGCACATATGGGTGCTCACTCCTGGTACGGTAGGTTTGCGTCGTGTCGACCAGCGGCGACCCCAGCGCGGGCGTTCAAGGTTGAACGCCGCCGGCGACCCAGAATCGATCGATGTTGAACGATCGGACGTTGCGGCAGCGGCCGATCGTTCAAGGTTGAACGATCCCTGCGGTGTCAAAAACCAACGCTGGGGTCGGCACGACACGAACCTGCCGTAGGCCAAGTCCTCTCTGTGAGAGCCCACCTCGCCCCTCGCTCCCAGGCGCCGGCAGGCGGCCAGGCGGGGGCCTCCGTGAGGAGGGGCTCGTCGCGGAAGGGCTCTCGTCGCGGTCAGGCCGCGCCCGCAGCGTCCGCCCCCAATCCGTCGATCTTTAGAGATTCGGAAGGCGCCCAACGTAGACTGGCTTCTGGGAATGCGAAGCAAATACTCCAGATTTCGTAGTAAAAAGGGAGGGGGTCTGGACCCTCCAAGACAAGCCATGTCTGACCCCCCCTCGTGGGAGAACCCTCCAAAACATCGTCCCCAGACCCCCCCCAGGCCCTCCAAGATAAAGAGACCCCCCCCGAAATGAGACCCCCCTCCCTTTATTACGAAATCTGGAGTACCACCTTACAGTCGGGCCAGATTAGTAGGTCGACCCTGCCGAATCAAGGGTGCCCTCGTGTCCCGAGTCTCGCGGCCCATGCTTCCTGCGTTCCTGTGGCAATGTGGCCCTCAGAAGGGTCTTGTGCTCTCTCGCGTGTCCTGTCCAATCAAGTCCGACTGTGCCTCCGTAGGTACTTCATGGACTCCCAGATGCCAGTCTGCTTTTCAGGCGCCTTCCTGCTTTGAGGATCGCGCGGTGGTCCCTCTGCCCTCCTCCTCAGGGGGCGGGCCAAGGTCCAATCTCCTCCTCACGTCTTCCCACTCCACCGCTCTGCCCAGTTCTTTTCTGACCGGCGTGTACCTCCGGCGGGGTTGGCGGGAGCCTTGAGACGGGGGTCATCAGTGCAAACGGGGGTCGGCCAGAGCGCCCGATCCTGCATGATCCTGCAGGGCCAGGGTCGCATTGACCCAGGCTTGGGTGCAGGATCCTGCAGGATCCTGTAGGATCCTTCGCATTGGACCCCGGCTTTGGTGCAGGATCTTGCAGGATCTTGCAGGAGTCTGCAAGGCCTGACTGACCCGGGTCTGGATTGACCCGGGTGAGAAGATCCCCGTTCCTCTATGGGCCATCTCGGAGAGTTTGGCCATGTCTGCTGGAGGAGGGCCATTGTACGTACAGATCCGCCTCGTTTCTCCCCCCGCCCCCCGCCCTTCCCTGGGGAGGAGGCGGGAAGGAGAGGAAAGGCCGTGGACTCGTTTCACAGTTTCCGTTCCTGACCTGGGGAGCCACTGTGCCATCTCGGGGGCCCCCTTGCGCCGTCCGGATGGGGCTCTTCGGTGCAAGCCTGAGGGGGGTCAGAAACAAACCCTGGCGCGCTCGACGCACCCCCCAGAGTCCCTCTCGATCTAGTCGGTCCGACTCGATCTCGGTCTCGGCCGGCCCGAACCGGTTCGATTCCGATGGATGCGGCCCGATGCTGGCACGGCGCTGATGTGCACGCTGGCGCGGCCGACACGCGGGGGGTCGACCCCCCACACTCAGGGGGTGGCGGGGGTCGACGCCAGAGCAGGTACATGTGCTGACGCCACACGTCGCAGAGCGCCTCGAGGGGGCGAGATAGCGCCTCGGAGCTCAGCTCTGCGAGCGCTTGCGGTGCCTCGGGCGTTGCCCCGCCCAGCTCCACCGGTCCATTTCGGCCCACCGCTGAGCGTGCCCCACCTCGAGGCTGCACCCACGGCCGCAGCTGGTGCGTCCGCATGCCGCCCGCCCGGCCCCCTCGGACCGCCCTTCACGCCGCCCGTGCCCCACGGAAGACTCCGCCCACGGCGCCAGCGGCCGCGCCCGCATGCCGCTTTCCCGCCCACGCCAGCACGGCCTGCCCTGCGCACCGTTCGTGCCCACCGGGGGGCTCCGGCGCCACAGCCCGGACTGCCCGCCCCACACCTCGCACCGTCCGTGTCCCGCTGGGAGCTCCGTAGCCATTTTGGCTCAAGACGGCCGATCCCCGCCGCGGCCCGCCGCTGGCCTTGACGTGAGGCCCCGCCTTCTGCCTCCCCACCTCTGTCAATTAAAGCTGTGCGCGGCCCGCTTAGCTTCGACCGGAAGAGGTGCGCTCTCGACCCGCAGACCAAAAAAGTCCCGCTGGGAGCTCCACCGACAGCGCCACGTCGGGGCTCAAGAGGTGGGGTCGATGCAGACGGGGGTCCGCCAGAGCGCCGGATCTCGCAGAATCTTGCAACGCAAGGGGTGTATTGACCCATCCTGCAGGATATTGCAAAGCCTGGCTGACCCGGGTTTGGATTGACCCCGGTCAGTAGATCCCCGACCACTGGTTTCTAGGGTCACACCTTGCTTGCCTCCAGGGTGCGCCTGGTTTCTTGAGTTTCAGTGGTTTTGCTGTGGAAAGCGTGACGCTCCCACGCCCAAACTCAAGGGACGTCCTGGGATCTCAGGGTTGGGTTTCCTGTGGAAGGTTTCTTCTGGACGGGCCGACGGGCCCCTACTCCGAGTTTATGAATAAGCGTCGGGGGGGCGTCACCCCCGCCGACAGACCCATATCGACCCCCGTCGGGGGTTTTTGCGGTCGGCCGCGTGCGCGCGCCGTCGTTCGCTGGCGTGGCGCGCCACGGCTTTTCTGTTGTCGAGAGCGTGGCGCCAGTGCGCGGCAGGGTGCGGACCGCATCCTCGAGATCTGCCCCTCCGGACGTCCAGCGTCGACTGCTCCAAAGTTTCTGAGGAGGACGAGGCAGCCTGAGGCAGGGCCTGGCGGCGTGGCGTGCCCCTCCGGCGAGCGACGGCGCGCGCACGCGGGGGGGCGACGGGTGGGGGGGCGAAGGAGCGTGCACGTTTCGTGCCCCTGCCTCCCTCCCCCCCCATTCATGATGGGCCCACTGTCCACCACCGCTGCCACAGGCGGGGCGGGAGAAAAGGGCTGATGGGGAGATTCCCTTCCTCCTCCTCCTCCTCCTCCTCCTCCTCCTCATCATCATCATCATCATCATTATCATCATCATCATCATCATCATCATCATCAGCATCATCATCAGCATCAGCATCAGCATCAGCATCAGCATCATCATCATCATCATCATCATCATCATCATCATCATCATCATCATCATCATCATCATCATCATCATAATCATCATCATCATCATCATCATCATCGTTCTCTTCGTCCTCCTCCTCCTCCTCCTCCTCCTCCTCATCCTCCTCCTCCTCCTCCTCCCTCTCCTGCCTATCGCGGTGGTGGTGTGGAGCGTGCCCTAGAATTCATCG